GGTGAACAGACAGACAGGTGATCAGACAGACAAACAGGTGAACAGACAGACAGGTGGTCAGACAGACAAACAGGTGAACAGACAGACAGGTGGTCAGACAGACAAACAAACAGGTGAACAGACAGCCAGCCAGGTGATCAGACAGCCAGCCAGACAGACAAGTGATCAGACAGACAGACATGTGGTCAGACAGACAGACAAACAGGTGAACAGACAGACAGGTGATCAGACAGACAAACAGGTGAACAGACAGACAAGTGATCAGACAGCCAGACAGACAGGTGAACAGACAGACGGGTGGTCAGACAGACAGACAAACAGGTGAACAGACAGACAGACAAGTGATCAGACAGCCAGACAGACAGGTGATCAGACAGACAGGTGAACAGACAGACAGACATGTGGTCAGACAGACAGACAGACAAACAAGTGAACAGACAGACGTGATTGTTGTTTCTGCTCCAACTTGCTTCAGGTCTTCTTCATCTCACTCTGTCCTCACTCCAACTACCTCCATGTCCTCTCTAACTGCATCATATATCTCCTCTGTCTTTTTCCTGGCAGCTGCTTTGCTAACATCCTTCTACCAGTATACTCACTGTCCCTCCTCTGGACATGTCCAAACCATCTCAGTGTGTCCTCTCTAACTACAAATATAGTTCAAATAATTGAAAAGCACAGAACAAAATAATACACAGTAAGCTACTTAAGTCATTTCATAATTTATTAGAAAGGACTACTTTTTGGGGTGTATGATTATATATTTATACAGGTGAGATGCGCCCCAGCTGCCCTCATGGCGCAGCCTCACCTGGTCACAGTGACCTCCTGTTTCAGCCCACTCAGTCAGAGGAGGAGATTAAAGCCTTAAAGCTGAACGGCGGCTGGTTTTCTGCCAGATTACCTCAGATTATCTGCTGCTGCCGGCAGCTCTGAGCAGAGCAAACACTCAGCAAGGATGGAAAACATTCCTCTGATCGTTTTATGACAAAACAGTTCTCTGACCATCCATCCATCCATCCATCCATCCATCCATCTATCCATCCATCCATCCATCCATCTATCCATCCATCCATCCATCCATCATCTTGACCCACCTATTCCTTTTCAGGTCACTGGTGTCCATATCCAGCAGTCACAGTGTGCGAGGCGGGGGACCCCCTGGACAGGTCTCCAGTCCATCACAGGGACACCTAGGGACAATTTAGAGTTACCAATCAGCCTAACATGCATGTTTTTGGTCTGTGGGAGGAAACCGGAGCACCCGGAGAAAACCCACACAGCACAGAAAGAGCATGCAAACTCCACCTAGAAAGATTCCCGGTCGGGATTTGAATTGGCGACCTTCTCACTTAGAGGCAACAGCTCTACCAACTGATCCACCGTGCCGCCCATTCTCTGATCGTTTTCTAATATCCAAAGCTGGCAGGACAGACCTAACGTCTTGATACTTTGGTTTTGAATAAACTGAAGATCCAGTTTGTGTCAGGTTGTGTTGGAGCAGTAGACCCAGTTCACAGCGTTTAAACTGGACCTGGTCAGAACCATGCAGATCTCCTGAAGATGAGAAAACAGATCTGGAGTGGAGGAGTCCTGCCACATAACCATACTGGTTCTGTTCTTGTCAGGTTTTGGAACCGGACCTAAAGCTCCTCCTGTAGCTGAGGTTCTGTCCGGCTCGTTGACCCATCCCCAAACGGACCTGTCCTCTCTGTTCAGATCATGTGACCTGATGGCGTTCTGCAGGATCCAGCTGCTGCACACAGAACAGCTGTTCATACATTTTCTCTCTTGTTATTCTAATATTTGTTTATTTTCACAGGAATTATTCTGTTCTGGACTCACTCCTCTTTCCTCTGGTCCATTATTCTTTCTCTGTTTCTCCTCTGGTTTTTAATCCTCCTCCTCTCCTGGTTTTCCCCTCGGAGGATGTTCATCAGAAGCATTTGTTAGAAAAATGACATCATCTGTTGAAGGCTAGCGCCACTGCACCCCCCCACACGCCCAAGCACCGTGTCAGTTTACAGAAACATGAAGTCAGGATTTGAGCCTCTGACTCGCATCGTTCAGGTTTACTTCATGACTTCATTGCTTCAGTTCAGTGTTTTCTATCCAATCTGGAGCATTTATTGGTTTTAATGGGTATAATGGTTGATACTGTCTCAGATTTTGGCTCTGGCTGCTTCTTTCTGTGCCCAGACTTTATACCGAGAGATGTTTTTCTGACAAAGTCAACAAAGGAAATGTTAAATGTTGTTAAATGTTGTGTAACTGTGTTGTCTGAGGAAGGATAAAGTTCACATTTCGTAAAAGAAACACAAACAAAACCTAAAAGTTTGGAACAACTGCTGTGAACTCAGAGAAGTTTTACACTGAACCCAACTCCAAAACATAAATACACTGCTTTTTCTTGAACATTTGTGTTTAACCCAGCTGATCGGCTTCATCTGTGTCTGGTTAAATTTCTGGCACAAACCTCGAGTCCTGCGTTGTCCCAGAAAACACATGACATCATCTCAGTTTCTGCAAAATTTCAGTAAACTGAAGCCACTAGGGATGTTAAGCAGCCTCCACGGCTCCAGGAGGAAAAGTTTGTATCACGAAGGAACCACAAAAAGTCATCATTTTAGTTTTTGGACATTGTTGCAAAAAATGGATGGGTGGGTAGGTAGGTAGGTAGGTGGATGGATAGGTAGATAGGTGGATGGATGGATAGGTAGATGGATGGATGAATGGATAGGTGGGTGGATGGATGGATGGATAGGTGGGTGGATGGATGGATGTATGGATAGATGGGTGGATGGATGGATGGATGGTGGATGGGGGAAATTTGAGGCATCCAGTAGCATTTTCTAATTATACAGAAAAAATAGACATGAAATAACCAACAAAAGAATCATAATGAGCAGAATGAATAATGATAACAGGGAACAGGTGTAGGTGGGCGTGGCAGGAGGGCCGCCGGTCCAGACAGGACAATTCATTAACCTTCATCTATGATTTAGTCTTGAATGATCAATGTTTTCCACCATATCAATAAATAGAAGTTTTAAAAATCAACTCCTTAACCCAGAACAAGACTTTTTGTTACCGGCTGTTAGTTTTAGCGGCGCTTCACTGAACGTCTCGTAATCAAACGGTTAAATCAACGTCTGTTCAGCGGGCAGCTGATGTCAGTTGTCCACATTCCGCTCGCTCCGTTTTCAGACTCAAAATGAAGTCAGCCTCACTTTGGTTTATGCAGGAGCAAACCTTTTCCATGTCCTCATGCGTTCATTCAACCTCCCACTCTCCTGGAGGGGAAATCTATTTCTGACTGAGTGTTTATTGACTGTGTTGTGGTTTGATGAGTGCCCGGCCTCGTTAGCGCTGACACACTGACCGGACTGATTAAACGAGCGTTTACGTCTTTGGCTCATGCAGCGACCAAATTAAAATCAGAGGAATTGATTTCTTTTGTGAAGGTTGTTGTTTGTCCTTCTGGGACCAAGTCACTGGATGTCTGAAAAGTTTCACTCGTAAAAGTGAAAGCTGGTTTCTGTTGATCCTCAGTATAAATGAAAATCACATTGTGGACACATGACAGTGTTTCCCCCTTTGTATCATTAATATTTACCGCATGCTCCAGTGTCTGTGCGTCCAGCCTTGAAGGATACATTTGTGGTTGTCTGCAGGTGACTCAGCCTCCACCAGCCGAGCCGCAGGGCCAGCTGCTGGGCAGCTTCGATGACAAGGCCTACCTGGCAGCCAAACAGCTCAAACCAGGGGACGACCCCTACAAGGAGCATGCCTTCAATCTGCAGGAGAGCGACCATCTGGGTGGAGAGCGAGCCATCCGGGACACCAGACACTACAGGTGAGCAGACGTTATGCCTCATCTCCGCCACAGGACAAAACGAGCATTTTAAAGATGTAGAGTTGGTCTTACAGGTCCAAGATTCTTCTAAGGCTGTGCCTGACAGAGCGGCACAATATATCACTAACTTATTGTCATTGTATTGTCAATGAATACAATATGAACATCACAAAGGACAGCTTTGTGCTGCCTTTATATTTCCAGATGTTCTGTTAATATTCAGTCAGTCCAACCGGCCTGATTTAGCTGATGATGATCAAAAAGAAAATGATAAGTGACAAAAGCATGGCTTTATTGTAAGTGATAAAATCATGGCAATTTTAAACAATTTTATTGCATTTTGCAAGCGTTTCTAAAACTGTGCAGCTTAGTTTGAAGCTCAGCTGGGGTGTTGAGTGAGCGGTTTCCTCTTTGGGCCTGCGTTGGCTTCCTCTAAACACTTGGTTTGTTGCTCTTCATCACGGTGAAAAGAGGGGCAAATGGAACTACCATCCGTCCATCTGCGCATGTTGTGAGCTTGATAACTTGAAAAATAAATGACGCACCCACTTCTGTTTTGGTATGTGACTGCATCTAGGTGTAGGAAAGGTCACCATCGAAAATTGGGTTGCCATGTCAAAATCCAAGATAACGACCACCAAATATACTTGTAGTAGCTGAAATGGCTGAACCTAGCAGCAAAAATCTGAAAGGAGCATAGCAGGCTGAAATTAACAGAAAGAAGTTAATTAGGCAAGTAAGTAGCAAAGTAGCAAAACTTTTTACGTAGCAAAAATTACCATTAAAAACTTGAATTTATCTGAAATCAGCTGAAATTAGCTACAGAATGCTAAAAAAGTAGCAACACAGCTGAATAAATAGCTGAAATTAGCTGAAAGTAACTGAAAAAAGTTTAAATTTACACAAGGCAGCTGAAAGAAGCTGAAGCAGAACAAAAAGTTAAAGGAGCAGTAAAAGGTTGTAAACAGATCTAAAGATATGAAGGATACAAAATTAGCTCAATTCATTTTCTATGAGAAAAAAAGGCTAAATATTTCAAAAAGCTAAAGTTGCACCAATACCAAGTCATAGCAGGATTGTCCTGAAAGAGCTGAACGTTTTGATTTAAGATTTTTTGAAATAGCTGAAAACTGCAGGACAAGAATTGCGCCGACAAATGTACGCAAGAAAAATGGACGACATTAGTACGAATGCTTCTCAAGGATTCACACGATAACGTGCAGAAAACCGTGCAAACAGAGCTCGTGTCATAAAAACCTCTCAGTGGAAACATTTTCACCGTTCAGCAGCAAAAAAATGATGTTTGTGTTGATGCTGTATAAATATTTGTTGGGTTCAGTGATGTATTAAGTTTCAGCTTCATGTTGTTGGACCTGGAGCAGCAAAAAGCAGAAGGTCACAAATCTGTGTGGTTGTTGCCGTGGCAACTGGGCAACTTCGTTCTGTTAGAGCAACGATGGGCCTCTACAGGTGCAGCAAAGTCTCGTCAGTTTGTGTGTTTTGTGATATTTTATACCATCTGAAACTGACTGAACATAAAATGAGACTTAGATAAGAAAAAGCTGTGACCATTCTTCTTCCTCTTCCTCCTCCTTCTCCTCCTCCTTCTCTTTGCAGATGTGCATCGCTGACTTTTGATGCGGACCTTCCTTCCACCAGCATCATCATCACTTTCCACAATGAAGCTCGCTCTACTCTTCTCCGAACTGTGAAGAGGTAACAAGGCAGAACCAGAACCAGGTCCACCCACTCATGCAGATGCAGGAACACAAACTGATCTTAGTTCTCCTCTCTTCTCTCAGTGTTCTGATGCGCAGTCCTCCAGCTCTCATTCATGAAATAATCCTCATCGATGACTTCAGCTCTGACCGTAAGTTGCTTTTTGTTTTTGCTGGTTTAAAACATTTAAACGTTTATCGCCGTGACTTTGTTTCTGTCGCTTAAGTGTAGGCTGAAACGCCCCTCCGGGTCATGGGGGAAGTCTTTTCCTCAGGTGATGGAGCTCAGGTATCTGGTTGTCTTGTTCCTGAGTGATGGTAGGATGGAGCGGGAGATGGATCGACAAATTGGGACCTCATCCTTAGTAATGAGGACGTTGCTTTAGAAAATCGTGGTGAAGAAAGAGCTGAGTCGAAAGGCAAAGCTCTCAATTTACGGTTTGGTCTACATTCTGACCCTCACCTGTGGTCATGAGGTTTGGATCATAACCGAAAGAATGAGATCCCAGATACAAGAAGCCAAGATGGGCTTCTTTCACATGGTGGTCAGGCTCAGCCTTAGAGATATGAAGAGGAGCTCCATCATCTGCAGGGAGCGCAGAGTAGATCCGCTGCTCCTCCGCATCAAAGGAGTAAGTTGAGGTGGTTCAGGCATCTGATTAGGATGCCTCCTAGATGCCTCCCTTTAGAGGTTTTCCAGGCATGTCCCATTAGTAGGAGGCCCCGGAAGGCCCAGAAGTGTCTGGAGGGATGGCGTATCTTGTGTGGCCTGGGAATACATTGGGGTCCCCCAAAAAGTGCTGGAAAGTGTTGCTGGGGAGATGGAGATCTGGGTTACGGATAGATGGATGTATGGATGGATGGATGATGGATGAATGGATAGTTGATGGATGGATAGATGGATGGATGATGGATAGATGATGAATGGATGGATGAATGGATGATTGGTGAATGGATGGCAAGATGGATGGATGAATGGATAGTTGGATAATAGACGGATAGATGGATGGGTGGATAGATGGATGGATGATGGATGGATGATGAATGGATGGATGGATGGATGATGAATGAATGGATAGCTGGATGATGGATGGATGATGGGTGAGTGGATGGATGGATGATGGATTGATGTGAGTTGTTGTTTTACCAGTCAGCATGTTAGTCATGTTCTTAATGAACTCTGATCATTTAGGTAGTTGTTCTGGTTCTCTGGTGAAGTGACTGTAATTGTTGATACAATCATCAGATACTTTCAGTGACGAAACTCTAAAAAAATGTATCCACAAGGCCTAAAACCACTGAATGACCCAGATCTGCAGGCCCTCATGCTCCACTGCATTCTGGGTAGACAGGATCCAGATGTGGAAATCACTGCATGGACACTAGAACATGAGTCACGGGTCATTAAATGACCGGTTAGTAAATATTTTATCTTGTTTTATTTATATTATTCCTCTGTCAAAAGACAGACATGTTATCGTCCCCATCTGTAAATGTTCTCTTGTCCGGCCTATAACTTCTGATCCGCTCAAGAAAATTTACTGAAACTTCATACACATTTCTTCCACCATTACACAAGGTGTCATACAATCTTTTCATCAGCCCTGCTTCAAGGTCACAAATCAAGGTCAAATGTTATACAAGGTATCCTGTTTCATGCTCAATAACCCAGGTAGAAAAATCCAACAAAGTTACATCAGGTCCTCTGGACAGTTTCATTCTGTTGAAACATTTCGTCTTTAAACAGGGGCGGAGCCTCCGCGTCCAACTGTCCTCCTCTTACAGTGCTGTTGAAACCATTGGACTGTTTCCTATAGCACAAACCGTCATGCAGTTACGATAATGCAAAATGCGTTTGCACCAGTGTTTAGTCGTAAAAAGGTTTGTGAATACCACGTTTTTTGTGCCCTAAATTTTAGTAGAACCATCTGTGGGGGTGCATAGCATATACATTTAATACCTTGGGACATTTGTGACAACAAGATTAAAGTTGATATCATTTGATAACTTACATTATTATGAGTGAGGAAACCTCAGTTGATTCCAAATACTTCTACTGCATTGTTAAAAGAAGACAATTCAGGCTTTGTAACTAGGAATGTTTTATTCTGACATTTACTTGGTTGTACAACTCATATAAAAATACTGTTTTGGCCAGTGTGAAATCCTAGTTATTAGAAAAAGAGGAGAAAAGGTTGCGATGTGACGCTAAAGATTAATGGTACCAAAGTTTTATCCCAGAGAATGAGCAGTGAATCAGGATGACAGCCTCTGCTATGTTTCATCTGAGAGAAATACAACCTGACAGAATACAGGAAACATGCAGCAACAGCTGACACTAATCTAAACTTCTGACAGCTTTTAGAGACGCTTGCTTTTAAAGAAAATTGGAGGTCACCAAGAACGTTTAGAAGATCCCTGTTTTTGATCCCAGTCTCAAGGATCACGAGAGACGGTTTCCTCCAGCATTGGTTTCAGTTTGTGTGTTTACGTCGTGTTGTTACGCCTCCAGTTGTCTCTTCTGTGTGGTCTTTCTGACACTGCTTTTACTAAACGTCTCAGAGATGTGGGAAGACCGCCGTGTCAAACTAAAGCTAATACAGTTTGAAAACAGCTGGATGGACTGTCGTCTCTGATTACCAGACCTCGTCCCTGAAATGATTTAGTCTTCTTTTGACTTGTGACTAAAGTTGTTTATGTAGCTTGTTCACCATTGTTGTTTTCCATGTTTTTGTGTGAAGTCACAAAATTAACTGGTTGGTCAATTAAAAGAGAAGTCAGAACCAATTATTTTAGAAACCTGATTATATTTTCCTAACAATAATCTTAATTTATTTTGGTTTATTTAAATAGCCACAACTACAACAAAAGTCTCCTGAAAAAAGAGTTCAATTATAAGTCCGATTCAGTCCAAAACAGAAACGGATTAAAGCCCAGTCATCTCAGTCCTATTTTCAAATAACGCTTGTGAAGATTCTCATCATCCAGGTCGTGGTGAATCCAAAAAAAAAAAGGTTCAACAACAAAACAACTGGACTTCTGTCCTGAAGCTGAAGACGTTCTGTTTGCCATCCAGGATTCTATTAAAACATGTCTTGAGTGTATGGAGTTCCAAGCTTTATAGAACTGCATGCGAGGCTTGGTTATGCACCTGCAGATTAGACTAAATCTATACGCTCCCCACAACGGAGGGTCGTGAGGCTCTTTGTTTGCAGGGCTCACAGAGATGTCTAACATCTAAAGTTTTGTATGTGAACGTATCTGTTGGAGAAAAATATTCTCGCTTTATCTTACTTACTCATAAAGAACCACACTCGACAGCAGGAGAAGATTTGTAACCAGTATTTTACTTGCAAGGTCAGATTTTCAGGACAGTATACACAGATATACAGGAAGTACATGCATGAGGACCTGTCACAAGAATCCCCATGAGCAGCCTGTGAAGCTTGTTTTTATACTCTTATCACTTCAGCTGAGCTCACAGACTTGGAGGTACCCTTGAAGTGACAGCTGAAGGCTCACTCAGCTCCTCATCCAGCTCTCTCTAACCCAAACATGTGGTTCATGGGCAGAGTTAGCATTCTCAACCATAGTAGTTAAAACCGCATTCTGGTATATTTTAACAGGTTTTTAAACATCTACATTTACCTACATAAGTGAACACTTTATTCAATAACTACTTTAGAGAGCAACAAGAAGTAGCCTGACCAACAGCTCTCCTTGTGTGAATAGAGCACGACTGTTTCGAGCTCAACTCTTCCCTGCTGAATTCACTGTCCTCCTCGTTGTTGTCCTCCTCCACATTTGAAACCCCCAGGCTTCTCCTCAGGCTGTTCATGGTGGCTGGCTGTGGGCTCCTGCCCGGGTACGACATCCTGGTTAGCTCGGCTCTCACCCACACCACTTGCACCTGCTCCAGTACCATTTCCATTGCCACTGCATTCATGTGCTTCAATTCTCGGTTGTTTAGTTTACAATGAGAAGACTTTTTTTTAGGAAAGTAAGGAAGGAAGACATGTTTGTGCTGCTGTTTAGCGTAGTCTTTTCGACATTTTGATTGCTGTTATTTTGACAAATTGGCACTGTTGTTTTGATACGTGATGTATGTCACGATTACCCATCAAACATTTCTTTCATTGTATTTTTAATAAATAATAAAAAAATTATTAATGACCCACTTAAACTGTAAACCTGATTATCAATTTAGTTGTGCTGTTTAATTATATTTTTGTGTTTTTTATTAAATTGCCCATGACTACTTTTAGGGTCGGAGATTTTTTGAAGGGTAGAATCAGAAATGCTTCACTTGAAAGAGCAGCTCTTATGTGATATTGGGAAACTGTTTAAATTTAGTGTTTATGTAATTATTTTCAGATTGCATATCCAATATACTGTAGGTTTTATTCATTCAAGGCTGTCATATTTGTTCATAACTTTATTATTAGTAAGCCTGAAAGTTACCGGATTCAAGCAAACAGTTACCGGAACTCACTCAGTCAAAATAAGGGAGTTCACAGATCCGGCTCAAATTAAGCCCTGCGTATCATACAATACATTCACATACTGTACAGAACTTTATGAAAGCCCAGTTATTAAAGTTACCTAAGGAAGCCCTCAGATTGTGTCGAATCTTCACTTGGTTGCAACCTCCCATCCTGAGCAGGTCAAAGGTCAATGTCAAAGTGTAAACCAGGTCTTTGCTTGTCGAGGCTGTTGCGTTAGATTGCTGTATAATAGTTTGTTGGTGGGCGTATAACGTGCCATATGCAGAACTGACTGACGGCAGAGGGTCATCATGACACAGCAGTGAGTTTACTGAGGACAGGAACGCACATCTGTACAGCTGCTGCTCGGTGTTTCTGTGGATTTAGTTACAAACTAAGGCAGCGGTGTGGTTTCTGTGGGCTTGTGTGAGGGTCAGTGTGTGAAAAATGAAAGAGAGATGTGTTGTCTGCCTCCAAAATAAGATGTCGTCTCTTCTCCTGTCTCCAGCTGACGACTGCCAGCTGCTCTCTCACGTCCCCAAAGTTCGCTGCCTGAGGAACAGCCGGAGGGAGGGTGAGTGCTGGGATTGGAGGGAGAAAATGAACTGTGGGTCAAAACATTGTAACGATGATGTGTTGTATTTAAACACTGACCTGTTACTGATATTGAACAAATGAAGCCGGACATACAGAGTGAACGTTTTTTATTTGTGTGGGTGATAAAACCAAAAACTGTTTATAAAAAAACACCATCCATAAAATACTAAAGTGTATTATGAAAAGGCTCGGGAAGATAAAGAGACAGCAGTTTAGAATTTTGAAAACAAAAGTTACTAAAATAAGATGAAATGAGGTTTCAGAAACTGTAAAACATGATTCTGACATTTGCTTTATCTCTGAGTTCAGCTCGTTTTTGTGTTTAATTCAGTTTATTTATGAAGCACCAATTCACAACTGAAGTCATATCAGGGCTCCGCACAAGAACAGCAGCACTCAGGCAACAGGGACAAGGAAGAACCCCCCAACAGAACCAGAACCAGGCTCAGGATGGGCAGCCATCTGCTTCAACTGGCAGGGGTCTGAGAGAACAGGAAAGAAACAGACACACAGAATACATGGTCCAGGTGTAGTTCCTATGGTCCAGGTGTAGTTCCTATAGTCTAGGTGTAGTTTCTATAGTCTAGGTGTAGTTCCTATAGTCTAGGTGTAGTTCCTATAGTC